TCCCTCCTTATTTCCTTCTCTCCCTCACAAGCATTGAGGTTGTAGAGTGCCAAAGAGTGAAAAAATGGATTGTGGTGTCCTCTGATCATCTGCTTAACACCAAACATGCCGTGTACACCTCAGGCTAGTCCTCAACAGGAACTTTCTAGTCTATACAGACAAGCAAGAGTCATGCTATTAATTCTTTCTCAAATATGCTAATGTTTCTTACGGTTAAGTGTTGTTGCAAATATATATTATATATCCTCCTGCCTTGAATGTGTAAATCTGTGTTTCCTAGCAGTGCTGCTTTTGATCACAGCAGCTTGGTTTTATTGAAATGACTGTTCTCCTCTGTCCATTTCCAGATCATTGCCGTAGTTATGGACCAATTCACAGACAGGGATATCTTCCAGGATATTGTAGATGCAGCATACAAGCGCCGTCTCCCGGTCTACATTATCTTGGATGAAGAAGGCTCTAAGTTCTTCCTGGAGATGTGCAAAGGCATGGAGCTCGGTGATTTCCAGATACGGGTATGATTTTGTTAACTCTCTTGTTATAATGACTCTTGAAAGATATCAGGGCACAGATATACTGTCATTTTCCGATGGACAAAAGAATTCTTGCCCTGATGGAGGACTGAATGCTTTCTGAAGGTTTTGTGGCCATTGAGATTTTGATACATCCAGTTAACCAGGAGACAAATATTCAGCATTTTAAATGAATAGTAAATTAGTCTTTTTTTATTTTTACCTGGAACCAGACTTTTTCCCAATCTGTAATGTGGAAACCCATTTTGTATTTTTATTGTGTTTCTGTGGTTCCCTTTCTGTTTTCCCACTTTATGTCCTTTTCTTCATCTGTCTTTTCCCCTTAATAATAATTTTTCTGTCCTGCTCTCTGTCTTTTTCCCTTAATAAGAAAAGAAAATACTGACAGCACCATTGGTTTGACCCACCATAGTTCAGGGTGTAACCAAGTGTATCAAAACCCACAATTCAGAGATGATTGTTTAATGTAAACAAACCAAGGCATTAATAATTCTAGAACCATGATATTTCAGATCTCATTTTATATCAAATAGGTTTTATTGTTTTCCAAACCCCCCCCCCCCTTCCTGGCTGGTAATATCACTTAAATGGTGTGTTTTTCAAAAGGAAAGAAGTTCTGATATCACATAGGGGCAGTTTTTACCAGCAAGCAACCAGTTCTGTCATAATATTTGTGTTGTTAATTTCCAGGCACCAGTTGCAACAACATACATTTTGGAACAATCATGAATAAATGAATAGTAAATTAGTCTCTTTAAATTTTTTTACCTGGAACCAGACTTTCCCCCAATCTGTAATGTGGAAACTCATTTTGTATTTTCATTGTGTTTCTCTGGTTCCCTTTCTGTTTTCCCACTTTAGGTCCTCTTCTCCAATTTTTCTGTCCTCCTCTATCGGTTTGACCCACCATAGCTCAAGGTGTGACCAAGTTGTATATCAAACCCCACAATTCAATGATGCATGTTTAATGTAAACAAAGACATTAATAATTATAGGACCATGATGTTATTTCAGATCTCATGTTTTAAATGAAATAGATTTCATTGGTTTCCAAATTACGCCCCCCCACCCGCCACCCCGGCTGGTAACGTCACTTTAACAGTTTGTTTTCCAAGAGGGAAGACGTTCTGACATCACGTAGGGGCAGTTTTTACCAGCAAGCAACCAGTTCTGTCATAATATTTGAGCTGTTAATTTCCAGGCAGCAGTTGCAACAACATATATTTTAGAACAATCATCAGAATTTTTGCAGATGAGGTCATAGAGTTAACCGCTCACATGTTGCGGGCTCTGGCTGTTGCAAACCTGATCATTTCCTGCATGTGCGTAACATGAGGAACAGGCCCAACTTAGTCCTGATGTTGGTTGACAGTCCTATGTGAACTTACCTGAACAGTGTCAAGACACTCAAATCTAAGGGAGCAGGAATCTTCTGAAATTTTTGGAGTTTATTAGTTTTAGTGAGTTCTGCTTGTAGATTCTTATCCCCCCATTTCATTTTCTGTGGACCATGGTGAATTGTGCTGACGACCGCTATAATAGGAGGCTGAAGTTGGTCTGCTTCCGTGATTGTCCTGGGGGCACCGCACTTTGGAGCAGCTGGCACAAGAACCGTGCTTTGGACCAGGACACAGGATATATCATCTCGAAGGGGGGAGTCCCCTGAACGTGGGGGTATATGATATGTGGTGTTTCAGACCTTATTTTATATTAGTTTTAGTGAGTTCTGGTTGTAGATTCTTATCCCCCTTATCATTTTCTGTGGACCTTGGTGAACTGTGCTGACGACTGCTATAATAGGAGGCTGAAATTGGTCTGCTTCCGTGATTGTCCTGGGGGCACCGCACTTTGGAGCAGCTGGCACAAGAACCGTGCTTTGGACCAGGACACAGGATATATCTTCTCGAAGGGGAGAGTCCCCTGAACGTGGGGGTATATGATATGTGGTGTTTCAGACCTTATGTTGGGGTTCAGAGCTTTCCAACTCTCCTCAGTGTTTCTGGATGATTTCACGAATAAGGAATGAATAAGGAACTGTGAATAAGGAACCAACTTCAGCCTCCTAGCTATAATTCAGTGGTAGATCACATGCTTTGCATTCCAAAGTCCTCAGGTTTTATCCCCGGAATTGCCAGTTAAAGCATCTCCTGTAGCAGATTGGGAAAACCTGTACTTTGAAAGCTGCTGTCAGTTGAGTGGAGAATATATTGGAGTAAACAGACCAGTCCTCTGGCAAGTATAAGGCCGCTTAGTTATGAGCCAAGGACCTTGCTGAAGGCTGAAGCTGACTGGTCATTTTCAGGGCTATTTTTGGGCAGGAACGCACAGGAATGGAGTTCCGGCTGGCTTCAGAGTTGGCCATGCCCACTACAGCCAAAACTTCTGTGCATGCGTGGCTACAGAGGGAAGGCCTGGAGAGCGACCTCCGAGTGTGTCTCCGAGGCAGGCGGGCCAGGGGGCCCCCTGGAAAGATCAGGGAGGCATTTAAATGTCTCCACATGCCTTCCCCGGCCTGTCCAAGGGCTGGCTTGCCCGGGTTGGACTAGAGTGCAGGGGGTTGGACTAGATGACTTGCAAGGTCCCTTCCAACTCTAACATTCTACGATTCTATGACCTAGAATAAAACTTTGATCTTAATGGTGCCACTGGACCCAAACTTTGTTCTATTGGATGGTCTGTTTGTTTTCCTGATTAGATTCTTCAGTTACATTTCATGATTTCCTGACCCTGCTATTTGTTTGTATGTTCTCCTCGCCACGCATAAAAGGACAGCATAGCGATTCACTCACTGTAACTGAAGAGGCGGATTCTAGCCCATGAAAGATTATGCTAGAATACCATTTTTTGTTAAGTCTTTGAGGTGCTGGAAGACTCCTGTAAAGGAAAACTTAGGACTCCTTAGACGCTTCGGATGTTAACGGGCTTAGCAAAACTAGGAAAATGACCAATTATTGCTATTGTGAATGGTCTCTGAACTTTTCTTGGTTATCTTTTAATTTTATGTAATTAACATTACACCCCATGCACTTCCTGCATTTCAGGGGCCCCTGACCCCCCCTCCCAATTTGTTTTTTGTCAGAACCTCGTAAGTCTGCTTAATGAGGACCACGGTCATCGGACAGTGGACTTTAGTCTACAAAACCTTACGAAGGAATAGCATTTTGTCATGATACAGGGAGCTTTCCTTGTACTAGAACAGGGGTGTCAAACATGCAGCCCCGGGGCCGAATCAGGCCCCCAGAGGGCTTCTATCAGGCCCGCACTGTCTCCTGCTTCGTCTTCCCCTTCTGCTTTGTCATAACTTGCTTTGCCAGACTCTCTCAATCGCTCAGGAGAGATAGATAGGCGAGCTTCTGTTCCCTGCACTGGCTGAGGCTCCTCCCCCTCCTAGTAGGAGAGCGGGAACAAGCCAGAACTTGTTGCCTCAATTGCAGTAATTCAGAGCAAGAGGGGTCAGTTACCAGACACTGTTAAATAAACAAAATATTGCAAGAGCGCTGATGTTTTAAGCATGTTTTTATTTTAAGTTTTTTTTTTAAAAAAAAACTTTAATTGTGTTTGTGTCCTTTAAAAGATTGTATCTCTGCTACCCTGGCGTTACCATGACACACATGGCCCGGCCCAACGAGGTCTCATTTATGTCAAATACGGCCCTCATAACAAATGAGTTCGACACCCCTGTACTAGAATATTTCTAGAAAGTGGGGTTCTGTCGTCTCTCAATAGACCTCCCTTACCAGGCACACGTCAGATTACCTTTTTGTTGTTTCACATCTGCTATTTTTGTGTTAGTTGCTACTACACTTCTAAATACGTCCTGATGCCGGAAACAGGATAAACTGCCTGTTCTCTTCACCAAAGTCTGATTGCAAAACAGGGGAAGGGATAAAGCTACAAAGCAGCTGGATAAAGGCATCATCAGGATCAAATCAAATCAGCCCGTTTCATAATGCCCCTGTATCAATCGATGGTGCGACCTCAGTTGGAGTACTGTGTACAGTTCTGGTCGCCACACCTCAAAAAGGATATTATAGCATTGGGAAAAGTGCAGAAAAGGGCAACTAGGATGATAAAAGGGTTGTTGGAACACTTTCCCTATGAAGAAAGGTTAAAGCGCTTGGGGCTCTTTAGCTCGGAGAAATGACGGCTGAGGGGGTGACATGATTGAGGTTTATAAGATTATGCATGGGATAGAGCAGGTAGAGAAAGAGGTACTTTTCTCCCTTTGTCACAATACAAGAACTCGTGGGCACTCCATGAAATCGCTGAGCGGTCAGGTTAGAACGGATAAAAGGAAGTCCTTCTTCACCCAAAGAGTGATTAACACATAGAATTCACTGCCACAGGAGGTGCCGGCGGCTACAAGAATGGAGGGCTTCAAAAGGGAATTAGATAAGCATATGGAACAGAGGTCCTTCGGTGGCTATTAGCCACAAGGTATAGATAGGAACTCTTAGTCTGGGGCAAGTGATGCTCTGTATTCTTGGTGCTTCGGGGGGGGGGACAGTGGGAGGGCTTCTAGTGTCCTGGCCCCACTCCTTGACCTCCTGATGGCACTGGTATTTTTGGCCACTGTGTGACACAGAGTGTTGGACTGGATGGGCCTTTGGCCTGATCCAACATTGGCTTCTCTTATGTTCTCTTAGGGTCATGAGAACTGAGTCTGCTGAGAGGTTATCCCTAAAACGGAACTTCCTGCATGAGATCTTGCTACTTTCCTTGGGTCTCTTCTCGGTTTCCGTCAACTTGCTAATGAACCCTTGAGAAGTGGGAGTACAGGAAGGCAGGGTAATGAAAATCTGGATGATTAGACTTCCTTTGTGCATTGCCTACTGTGTCTTTTCTTGTTAGAATATCCGTGTACGCTCTGTGACAGGAGTTGGTTACTATACGCCATCAGGGAAGATCAAAGGCAATTTGGCATCCCGGTTCCTGTTGGTGGATGGTGAAAAAGTCATCACTGGTTCCTACAGGTCAGTTTCTCAACCAGGAACTCCATCCACATGTCCCTCTTCCTTTTGGTAACGGTGGGGCACAAAGGTATTAGCTGGAAGGGGGGTAGACAGCCGCTCCCTTGTAAGGAAATAATATACAATGTAGAAATGCTAAACTTGAAAGAAACATCCAAGACACTGAAAGGCTGGACAACACATCCAATTACCAAGTCAGATTACACAGGGAAGCCATTGAAATTCATAAACATAAACACAATTTCAGCCCGTGGTCTTGGCAAAGAAGAGAGTTTAAAAATAAACAGGGCACGGTTACCTGTCCTGAAAAAACATAAAAGGCTCTACATCTTACAACAGCACTACAGATCAGATTAGAATTTCAACAGCCAATCCATATGCAAAAGAACCTCCTCAGGAAAGCTCCTCCATTAGCATATTAACAACCTAGGGAACCCCTACAGATAATGACTCAGCCCTACCCCACCTTCCTGAGTAGATGTAAATTACCTGCCTACCAGTTTTCTTCTCACCTTGACACAGAGAGTACTCCCTCCTTCTGTGTTATACCTCTTGAGGATGCCAGTCACACCTGCTGGAAAAACGTCAGGACCTACAGTGCCAAGACCACGGCCATACAGCCTGGAAAACCCACAACAACTAATTGCAAGAAGCTGCCTCTGTAGAGCCTCTAATCTAAATGCTTAGCCTAGGCTTTGTCAACACGAAGGGATCTAGTGTTGTCCATACAGGTGGTCTGCCAATTCAGCTGCTGTAGTGTATTGCAAACAGTTACATGAACCGCTTCATTAACTCCCCATGTTAAGCTTAGAGCCAAACAAAGGCTCCTCAGAACTGTCTGACTATTGGTCGCTCTGCAACAGCGACCAATCAGAACTGTGCCAGTTCCCTGCGAGGGAAAGACTCTCATTGGACCTTATCCACACAACCTCATTGGTTGTTAAATGTAAACAGGAGTGGCTATATTAGCCCGGGAACGTTTAAAAGGAGCCTAGCTCCCAATGTTAATCTGTTCTGGTTATGAATGCTTTTAAGCGCTTGTTCGTTACTTCAATAAAGCTGATCACTTTGCTGAATTCACTCTCCGACTCCTTGTTAGCGGCGATCTAACAGCTGCCACTGAGTATAGGCTGTGAAACGAAATCCACACGATTTCATAGGATGTCCCAAGAAAAGGGCGTGATGAGTACTGAAATATTGTGCTCTCCCCCTACCTCCACTACAGCATTTATTTACCAGATAGGTTTCATACATCAGGGCTCTTTTTTGTAGCAGGAACTCCTTTGCATATTAGGCGACACGCCCCTCATGTAGCCAATCCTCCAAGGGCTTACAGAGCTCTTCTTACAGGGGCTCCTGCTACAAAAAGAGCCCTGCATACAGTATTCCAAGTTATGAGGCGAGCAGGATAGTACTGGGCACACTGATTTGAATGTCACACCTGCAAGACCACCCGGCCCTTCCGGGCCCTGAAGAAGCCAGGCTGGCCGCAACGAGGGCCAGGGCCTTTTCCGTGGCAGCCCCTTACTGGTGGAATGAGCTCCCAGATGACATCAGGGCTCTGCGGAACCTTTCGGAGTTCCGAAGGGCCTGTAAAAGGGAGCTCTTCCACCAGGCTTCCGATTAGGGTGCCGCCTTTTAATACTCTGGCCCTGGCCTTAATACCAGCACCAATTCAATGACCAATAACCTGGCAGGAACCTGGGTTACGGTGGTAGGCGACCTGAGAGCCAGTTTGGTGTAGTGGTTAAGTGCGCGGACTCTAATCTGGGAGAACCGGGTTTGATTCCCCACTCCTCCACTTGCACCTACTGATGTGACCTTGGGTCAGTCACAAGCTCTGGCACAGCTGTCCTTGAAAAAGAGCAGTTTGTGTCTAAGTTGTCTCAGCCCCACCTTCCTCACAGGGTGTCTGTTGTGGGGAGGGGAAGGGAGAGGAGTTTGTGAGCCGCTCTGAGACTCCAAGTGAAGGGCGGGGTATAAATCCAATCTCCTCCTCCTCCTCTTCTCCTTCTCCTTCTCCTCCTTCTTGTTGAGAGAATGCCGCCATCTGTATTAATGCTTATGCTCTTAGCGCTGATGATTTTATACACTGTGATTTTAATTGTATACTGTGTCTTAATATATGTCGGTGTTTTAACATATATATGGAGCTGCGGTGGCTCAAGTGGTTAAGACGCTGAACTGCAGGCTGGAAGGTCGGTAGATCAGCAGTTTGAGATCCGAGTGCTGCATGACGGCGTGAGCTCCCATCTCTGGCCCCAGCTCCTGCCAGCCTAGCAGTTAGAAAGCAAGAAATTGCAAATAGGTACCATTTCAGTGGGAAGGTAACAGCATTCCATGTGCCTCAGCGTCTAGTCATGGCAGCCACGTGACCGCAGAAACGTCTTCGGACAGCGCTGTCTCTTCAGCTTGGAAACGGAGACGAGCACTGCAACCCTAGAGTTGGATTCGACTGGCTTTCAAGCAAGGGAAACCTTTACCTTTACCTAACATGGGCCCCGGTCACATGGGCCAGATAACGCAGGGGGGAGGCGTGTCTTAGATGCGCCACAACGCGATCAGACGCGACGGCGGCACAGTGCGGTACCATCCATCAGCGTCTGAGTGGCAACACGGACAGCCGGGGGGAAAGCCGCGCGCTGGTGCGATCACACAGAAGGCTCCCATTAGGCGACCCATGGCAAAGCGTTTGCCACTACATTTGGTGAGCTAGTTTTTTACTGCGCGGCTTTGGCGGCTCGCCACGGGTTCGCCACAGGAGTGCTACGCCTCCCAGATGTTCCCATGTGATCGCACCTGGATACTCCGTGGGACTCCCGTGCCTTCAGCGGGGCAAATGCTCCGTGTGACCGGGGCCATATATATTTATTCCATAGGCCGCCTTGAGCCTGCTACAACGGGGAGGGCGGGATACAGATTTAACAAATAAATAATAAATAAGACCTTCTCCACTGTGTGCTTGTCTATCAGTAGTTAGTGTAGCAATAACAGCCGGTCTTATGGAATACTTGGGTGGATAAACGCACCCTCTTGACTACCGTAATGTGGATCCCTAAATAATAAAGAGCTTGGGTTTGAAAAAGTAGCTCTTCCCGATTAATGTCCAGGCCGTAACAGCATCCTCTTTGCCCCACAGTTTCACGTGGACCTCGTCGCATATCGACAGAAACATCGTTTTGTTCTTGTCGGGGCAGAATGTGGAAATGTTTGATCTCGAATTCCGCGAGCTCTATGCCATTTCGGAGGAGATCGATCTCTATAAGCAGCTAAACGTCCCGTGCCCTTTCTGTCGAGACGCTGGGAAACCGGGATTTTCCTCTTCCACCGTGGCCCGGAGGATCAACAACCCAAAGTATGGATTCGTGGCGGGGGTTCCCCCAGGGGAGATGATGTGCTGGGCCCACTGCCACATGCAGGAGTCACCAGGGGATCCGCAGGAGAAGGAAGAAGGGAGTGAGTCAAAAAGACGACTGCATATTTTTCTAGATGACCTTATCTCGGTAGAGCAGGAGCTGCCAGAGATTGAGCCTCCACTCGAAGACGTGAGCCGTGCAGACCAGAGTCCTCAGAAGTTGTTTTCCCAGTCCCATCAAGACCTGAGAACTCAATCCGAGGACATGAGCAATGCAGACCAGAGTCCTCAGAAGTTGTTTTCCCAGTCCCATCAAGACCTGAGAACTCAATCCGAGTCCATTTGTGACCTCAGGAAGGATGAAGCTGCCAGTGGGGAGACCCGTTCCAGGCAGGGCAAGAGATTTGGCGCTGGACTTTTCAGAAAGGCCAAGCATCTGCCACACTCGACTGCTGATGCAAGTTCTGTTACCGGTGAGACCCTAACAGGAGACGACTTTGTGAGCGTGGCGGCGCCCAAGGAGGGCCGAGCCGCTTTGAGTGTTCACAGTAGCGGGAACACGTCAGGTAAATCTCCCCGGAGGTTTTGCTTCTGCCAGTCCGTTTCCCTTACCCCGTTCTGTGCTTTTGTCCTCTTTCCTCTGCTCTGATATTCCCAAAGGTTTGCTGTTGCGGTGGTTCAGTGGTTAAGACGCTGAACTGCAGGCTGGAAGGTCGGTAGTTCAGCAGTTCGAGACCCGCGTGACGCAGTGAGCTCCCGTCTCTGGTTCCAGCTCCTGCCGACCTAGCAGTTTGAAAGCAAGAAATTGCGAGTAGTCATGCCGGCCACATGACCCCCGGCTGGTCAGCTTTTTATTTTTCTTCAAGAGCCAGTTTGGTGTAGTGGTTAAGTCTGTGGACTCTAATCTGGGAGAACCGGGTCTGATTCCCCCACTCCTCCACTTGCACCTGCTGGATGACCTTGGGCAAAGCATAGTTCTGTCAGAGCTGTTCTTGAAAAAAAGCAGTTGCTGTCAGAGCTCTCTCAGCCCCGCCTCCCTCCCAGGGTGTCTGTTGTGGGGAGGGGAAGGGAAAGGAGTTTGTAAGCCGCTCTGAGACTCCGAGTGAAGGGCAGGGTATAAATCCAATCACCTCCTTTTCTAGGTGGGTACCAAAAAAGCTCTTAGCGGGTGCCATGGCTACTACAGGAAGTCGTAGTCATGGGATCCGTAATCCCGTTCTTCATTGCTGTAGGACTTTGTTTTTATGACAACACTCTGCACTAGATTAGAATGGGCTAATTGGATAAAAGCATTAGAGCAACTCAGAGATGAAGTAATAGAGATGTAGGTAGGAAAGCAATGCAAGGTTGGCTGTTGCCAAGAAAACACTTTAAAGTGCAGTCTTCAATAGACCTAGGTCGAATCTGTATTTGCATTTTTAAATCAGTTTCATGCTGCTGTGACGCTGTCTTTCTCTATGCTTGTTCAAACGTTGTTTGGAGAAGATACTTTTAAAGCATTGCGGAGGCGCAATGACAATGGAGCTGCCACGAGAGGGCGACAAACATATGCAGGCATACAAAAGTATGCTAGCACTGTTGAGGTGTGAAAACGAAACCCAATATAGACAGCTTTTTTGAAGACTGAGTCAGAAGGCTTAGACACCGGTGGGAAAGACAAATGCAGATTCGACCCTAGTTAAAATCCTATTGAAGTCTATGCAGTGGGGGCTTATTCCCAGGGAAGTATTCTTAGGGTTGCACTGGTTTCTGTAAGGTTTATAACACTGAACAATTAAAGCGCCTCGTTGGATGTTTTTTTAATTCAAGAGCTACAAAAGTAAAGCTTATCGTTGCAGAAAATTTAGAAGACACTAATTCAACAAGAAGGGGACGGCGAAGGACGAGATGGTTAGACAGCGTTATCGATGCAACAAGCGTGAAGTTAAGCAAACTCCGGAGCACAACAGGAGACAGGAGGTCCTGGTGTGACGTGGTCCGTGGAGTCACGAAGAGGCGGACTCGACGGTGTGACTGAGCAACAATAACGACAATTCAAGCCCAGTGGATTTATTATTGGAAACATTTTGCTGCCTATAGAGCACTAGTTGGAGGAGTGCCTGTCACTTTTATATTGTTTTAAAGCGTAACTAGGAGCTGCGGTGGCTCAAGTGGTTAAGACACTGAACTGCAGGCTGTGGAAGGTCGGTAGTTCAGCAGTTCGAGACCCGAGTGCCGCATGACGGAGTGAGCTCCCGTCTCTAGTTCCAGCTCCTGCCAACCTAGCAGTTCGAAAGCAAGAAATTGCAAGTAGATAGATAGGTACCACTTCGGTGGGAAGGTAACAGCGTTCCGTGCACCTCAGTGTTTAGTCATGCCGGCCACATGACCACGGAAACGTCTTCGGACAGCGCTGGCTCTTCGGCTTTGAAATGGAGTTGAGCACCGCAACCCTAGAGTCAGATTTGACTGGCTTTCGGGCAAGGGAACCTTTACTTTTAAAGCATAACTAATAGAGTTTTCCCTGCCTTCCAGTGTCTTACCTAGCATAGAATACTAGGCAAGCAAAGAGAGAGGTGTAGAGTAGTAAGGAATCCCAAGTAATAACTTAAGCGTGAACGCTGAATTCGATGCGATCTTGTCCATATACTTTCAAAAAAGGGAGGCGGCAACGGAGAACTCGCGTGACCAAATGGCGCCCTTTCTCTGCTTTAACAAATGTAGGATCAGTGTGATCATGCTATGAATATGGATGGTCCCTTCCAAAATTCAAAGCCCCAACCAATGCCCCCTCTAAGCCGTGGAGTCTTGTGAGATGATACTGAGAGCCAGTTTGGTGTTGTGGTTAAGTGTGCAGACTCTAATCTGGGAGAACCGGGTTTGATTCCCCACTCCTCCACTTGGACCTGGCTGGATGACCTTTTGCAAGCCATAGTTCTGCCAGAGCTGTTCTTGAAAAAGAGTAGTTTCTGTCCGAGCTCTCTCAGCCCCGCCTATCTCACAGGGTGTCTGTTGTGGGGAAGGGAAAGGAAAGGAGTTTGTAAGCCACTCTGAGACTCCTTCGGGTAGTGAAGGGTGGGGTATAAATCCAATCTCCTCTCAAGAGCAGTTCTCAAGAGAGCTCTCTCAGCCCCACCTACCTCCCAGGGTGTCTGTTGTGGGGAGGGGAAGGAGTTTGTAAGCCGCTCTGAGACTCCTTTGGGTAATGAAGGGCGGGGTATAAATCCAATCTCTTCTTCTCTTATTATTATTCGTTATGGAGAGCGGTAAGGTCAGGGGTCATTTCGTAGAAAAAGAGCTAGGGGGACTCATTAGCATAACTCATTAGCATATGCCACACCCCCTGACATCACCGGAAGTGTGTCCTCCCCACAGCCGGTGGCGACCTCCAGCGGGCACCAGCTGGGAGCTCCAGGCCCCGCCCTCCAGCACCTCACCCGGGGGATGGCGTCCCCCCGCGTCCCCCCCCAAATGACCCCTGGGTAAGGTGATCCATTTGTGGTCGAGGGAGGAGGTCAACGCACTCTTGGAGGCAATCAAGGAGACATACGGTGCCTTGTGCCTGCTACGTTCAGAGAGCGGACCAAATTCCGACCTGTATGGAGAGAGATCTAAAAAGCTGCAAGCATTAGGTTACTCTAGAAGCCCCAAACAGTGCAGGAGGAAGTTTAAGAGAATGAAAGCACACTAAATATGTTTGAGTGGCTGTGCAGGAGTTCGCGGGAATGGTTTCTCTATGCCGCCATTTTTTCAAGAGATACAGGAACTGTTTGGGCGAAAACAGGAAGATGCAGCAGTGGAGCACGTGAAGGTATCATTGCCGTTTAAAACACACGGAGGAATCCAGGCTTTTCAAATATCAACTTGGGCTTCTTGAACGAACGCATAAGCTGTAAATTTGAATTTAAATAGGCAACGGATGTTCCATTGCGTTTTGCTGTATATTTATTCATCCTCCCTGATAAATGAGCCATCGATGACGAAGTAAAGCTTTATAATGGTAATTACTTTTTGCCATTAGTTAAAACACAGTATAGGAGCTGCGGTGGCTCAAGTGGTTAAGACGCTGAACTGCAGGCTGTGGAAGGTCGGTAGTTCAGCAGTTCGAGACCCGAGTGTGCCGCATGACGGAGTAAGCTCCCGTCTCTAGTTCCAGCTCCTGCCAACCTAGCAGTTCGAAAGCAAGAAATTGCAAGTAGATAAATAGGTACCACTTCGGTGGGAAGGTAACAGCGTTCCGTGCTCCTTGGTGTTTAGTCGTGCCGGCCACATGACCACGGAAATGTCTTCGGACAGCGCTGGCTCTTTGGCTTTGAAACAGAGATGAGCACCGCAACCCTAGAGTCAGACTCGGCTGGCTTTCGAGCAAGGGAACCTTTACCTTTACAACACAGTATGCTCACATTTCTTTTAGTTGGTATTGGGGAAAATGTTTATGAACATCGTGTTTGCGTGGGATGCAGGGATGTGTGTTTCAATTGTGGAATCTGAAAACCAGCAAATTAATTAAAAGAATTGTTATCAGATCAGGTGGAAAACTGTTGCATACATACACACACACACAAAGGAACTGTGGATACATTTTCAGTGACATCCATACCGTGTCATTTTGATTTTTAAATTCAGGAACAATAACTCTCAATGTTCCTTTGGTCTTTCAAGATGAGGATATGAAGGACGACCCAGAGATTCTGGTTACAACCAGGGGTCATTTTGTAAAAAAAGAGGTGCAGGAGCTCATTAGCATAACTTATATGCATATGCCACACCCCCTGACATCACCGGAAGTGTGTCAGAAGGCAACACCCACCGCTCAGGCTCCACTGGACTGTTTTGGATTGCTAGCTATGGGGGGGGGGACGTGCAGATCTGTCCTCGCAGAGGAGGGAGAGCTTGTACCTGAATAAAACTTGGTCTAAAAGGTGCCACTGGACTGTTTTGGACTGGGGGGCCGGGGGGGGAGCTCTGCAACTTACCTGGCTGCTTCTTGCTCTGACTGAGGGCTGCTGGGAGCAGGGGGTGGGGCTTGTTGCATGTGCCCGCCCCCTGGGCTCTTTACTGCCGGAGCTCCGCTCCCGTGCGCTCCTGCAGGAAATGACCCATCTCCCCGACGATTGGTAAATGAGCCTAATGGATTTTGGCAATTTTTTTCTTGACTTCTTTGGCAGCCATTTGAAATTACATAGTGGACTTTCCTTGAACTACAGCTGGTGTGTCGACGTCAGAGGCCTTGTTCACACACAGCAGACGAATTGTGCTGTAAAGCAGAGTGGGCCACAATCCTGCACACACATGCTTGTATTATGTCAGGAAGGAGCGCTCCCTGATGGGGGAACTCACGCCATTGAACATAGCGTTGACTACATGATCACAAGACCACACAGCGTGGAGAAAGTGTTACCTGGGATTACTGTACACCTCCCCCCTTTTTTTTTATCTCCCAAGTCACCACAGCCTGTTGTAGGTTAAGGGACCACTGGATCGATGTGAGTTCTCCTTCTCAGTGCTAGCCACATGGTGTTGGGAAAACATCGGGTTAACTTTTCTGACGCCTTCTTGATCTATTATCCTTCCGGATGGCCTTATATGACAACCTCTTCATGGCATTCATAACAGTTCATGAATTTTAGGTTTCCTTCGTGAGGAACACACTGACCTCGTTCCTTTAAAAAAGGAAGAATGGTAACAGCATCACTTTGCGTCTTTGGACGCACCGTTTTAACGTTGCCTGCCGTGGTCAAACTTGGGTCGATATTTTGCCCACTAACCAGAAGGGTGTAAGTCAATGCTCCCTCTAAGCTGTGGAGTCTTGTGAGCAAAAATTCTGCTTCGTGAACTACCGGCATTCAAGTGGTGAGCGAGCGATTTGGCTGCTGCATAAATTAGTTTGCTCTGGAGCCGTCCCTTCCTGAGCGAAGACAAAATGTATGAGCCGGAGGCTAAAAGACTGTGAGCTAGCTCTCACTAACTCAGCTTAGAGGGAACACTGGAGATGAGCAATGTGGAGTCCTGTGAGCAAAAATTCTACTTTGGGAGCTCCCGGCATTCAAGTTGTGACTGCAGTGCTCCATCTAAGCTGTGGAGTCTTGTGAGTAAGTTCTACTTTGGGAGCTACTTGGCATTCAAGTTGTGAGCAAGCGATTTGGCTCCTGCATAAATTAGTTTGCTCTGGAGCCCTCCTTCCTGAGCTAAGACAAAATGTATGCGCCGGAGGCTAAAAAACAGTGAACTAGCTCACACTAACTCAGCTTAGAGGGAACACTGGTGTAAGTCTGCTCAGTATACTGCAGAAGCAGCTTCCATTGATTCCTTCTGTGACATTCTTAGTAATCAAGTCAAAATACCCAATGGGATAAAAACGGCACATAAGAAAGATCTCCTATGCAATCATCATTTTTATTATAAAAATTAGTAAATACGAATCTGAGTATACAAAAATATTTTAACGTCTCAGCTATCGTACAGAAATATTTTCATCAAAACAGAGTGTTAAAACTGTGACAAGTATTGACATTCCTTCATTGAGTGTCGCTTTCTAAATTTCAAAATGTTACAGCACTGTGCTGCCATAAATACAAGATTATTTACTGATTAAAATATTTATCGCCTACATTTCACCCTGTGAGGTGGCTTAGAAAAAAACCAAGATTTTACAAATCTGGTCAAAGCGAAGGGGGAAGGAACCATATTTGCAGCAGTTGCATATGAAAGGGGAAACATTCATTATTTCTACTATGACTTCCTAGGTGCTTTCCAATAATCATCTGCATAAAAAGTTCTGTTTGGTGTAGTGGTGAAGTGCGCGAACTCTAATCTGGGAGAACCGGGTTTGATTCCCAAGTGCTCCCTCTAAGCTGTGGAGTCTTGTGAGCAAAAATTCTGCTTTGTGAGCGAGCGGTTTGGCTGCTGCATAAATCAGTTTGCTCTGGAGCCATCCTTCCTGAGCTGAGGACGAAAATCTGTGAGCTGGAGGCTAAAAAACTGTTGAGCTAGCTCACACTAACTCAGCTTAGAGGGAACACTGCTCACAGGGTGTCTGTTGTGGGGAGGGGAAGGGAAAGGAGTTTGTAAGCCGCTCTGAGACTCCCTTGGGTAGTGAGGGACAGGGAATAAATCCAGTATCAACATCATCATCTTTATGCAGCCAGCTTCCTTTCTGAATCTGTTCGGACTGCAGCGATTGTATTTTGCCTTCACAACTGTGTGAGATGGGTTGCTGCTGCAACCATGTCATGGCTAGGGAATTAAGGCAGAAGAGTGTGACTGTCCAATGGCCACGCTATAAACACGGTTTCTGCAGTAGAATACAAACGGGCACTTCTAGGTTTCTCTAGTACTGCCCTTCTACGCCTTGGATTTCAAGGAGCCAAAGCGGTTGTCAAACAAAATGGGACACCTCTCTCCAAATGGACAGAGCACAAACCTCACACCTTTTAGTGTGAGCCAGTTTGGTGTAGTGGTTAACTGCGCGGACTCTAATCTGGAAGAACCGGGTTTGATTCCTCACTCCTCCACTTGCAGCTGCTGGATGACCTTGGGCAAGCCGTAGTTCTGATAAGAGCTGTCCTTGGAAAAGAGCAGTTTCTGTCAGAGCTCTCTCAGCCCCACCTGCCTCACAGGGTGTCTGTTGTGGGGAGGGGAAGGGGAAGGAGTTTGTAAGCCGCTCTGAGACTCCGAGTGAAGGGCGGGGTATAAATCTAATCTCTTCTCTTCTTCTAGTGGCAAGAAATAAAAACCTAAAATTTGCTCCGTCCAGTTACCTTTATTCATTAGAACTCTCCAAGCACCGCAGAGCTTTTACCTCAGCACGATTAAATGTTCTCCCATCTGCCCTCCTTCAAGGGAGATGTGTTCATACCCCCAAACGCAAGTCGACTCTGTCCTTGTAATTCTGGACAGGATGAGACAACTGAGCACGTTCTTTTGTCGATTTTATCATGAGATTCGTTTTAAATGTGTTACTCCGATAATTGTCGCCTACCCAGGCAGGTCGAGTCTGTTTTATTCTACTCTTCTAGCTGCTATCTGTAATGAAACTACTGCTAAGGTAGCAAGATTTTGTGCTATGGCTATCTTAACCAGACCAAAGACTATTACTTCTTAGGAAATTTTAAAAATCCACGTTGTCTTAACTAAAGTTTTTACCTGTACCAACTGTCTGGATGTATTTCACTGTTAACTATATATGTAACGTTTTAAGGTATTTGCTGATCTTTGATCGTAATAGATCGAATTGAATAGAATAAACATAATGTACCTGATAAAGTCAGGCTGCCCTGATCCAGGTCTGGTTCTCAACTTATTAGGCAGCACTGGCTCAAAACTATCATTTGAAACATCTGGAGAAGTGGAAGTAAGACACGAGTGCCAACTGTACCCTGAACTGATTATATACAGTACTGTCCAGTGAATGCCACTTACAGTGCAACAGTTAGACCATTCTACGACTACTGTGTAACGCTGATTAGGACGGCACTGTTATTTTCCAGCCGTGGATGTCTGTGTAGCATCCAGTTTGGTGTAGTGGTTGAGTGTGCGGACTCTAATCTGGGAGAACCGGGTTTGATTCCCCACTCCTCCACTTGCACCTGGCTGGATGACCTTGGGCAAGCTGTAGTTCTGATAAGAGCTGTTCTTGAAAAACAGCAGTTTCTGTCAAGAGCTCTCTCAGCCCCACCTACCTCACAGGGTGTCTGTTGTGGGGAGGGGAAGGGAAAGGAGTTTATAAGCCGCTCTGAGACACCTTTGGGTAGTGAAGGGCGGGGTATGAATCCAATCAATTCTTCTTCTTCTAGCACAGCCCAGGGCCTGTCACAGTTACAAAGGCTCATCAGAATGCCCCTTCTTAAAAATAAAATGCCTTCAAACTGAGTAATGATCCAGACGATCGCCGCTTCTCCTTTGTTTAGGCCAACCATTTCACACAAACACGGCAGAGACTTCATCAGCAATACCTAAAAGGCAACCAAATCAAAATTACCATTGCGTCATAACCGAAATGGAGCCTGTGCCCTTGACAAAATGGGGGGAATTTTTTTTTGCAGCTACTTATTACTCAGCTTTTGCATTGCACGAGTATTTAAATCCTTTTTTTTAAATGTCTTAAACATGACCGAGTAGGGATCTTCAGGATTTTTCTTGTAGAGTGGCCCCACAGAGAATCTGCCACTCTGAATGAGTCTAATCACTGCACTGGAAAACAATTACAGTGGCGGCTCCACACTGGTGGAATGAGCTCCCGGACGACATCAGGGCCCTGCGGGACCTTTTACAGTTCCGCAGAGCCTGCAAAATGGAGCTCTTCCACCAGGCCTTCAACTAGAATGAATGAGCTATTGAAACACCGATGACTGGCATTTTATTAGGGACACCAGTTTAGTCATACTGGACCAGCTTACAACAACCACCATCCGTATTTGTTATTGTACCAATCTGCACTTTATATGTTATTGTGGAATTTTATCAGTTTTATTGCACTTTTAATTACTGTACGCCGCCTTGAGCCTGCTTGTCAGGCAAGGTGGGATATAAATCTAAATAAATAAATACAAATTAGCTTTAGAAGAATAAGCAATGCTATTATCATTGTATACACTTGAGCTCAATTTCCCCTAACTTATGAGTCAAAGCAGCAATCCATAATTGGCTAACTTCATCTATCAGCTTTAATGGGATATAATTTAGCATATGAGCAAATTGGTCAGGCAGGCAGGCAAGACAGCTTTCAGTGTAACTATACAATATTTGACATCTTTGACCTTTAGGGCAGGGATAACATGCTTGCCCAGAGAACTGAAAAAGCTCTTACAACAGGACCCTCCCAGGTAATACCACCTGTACTCCCATCCATTCCAATATCTGGTTTACCGCCTTTCCCCACACATACCCCAGGGAGCACTACGGTCGGGGTCACAACATCGACTAATTATTCCAGGCCCTAAGGATGCCAGGCTCGCTGCCACCAGGGCCAAGGCCTTTTCAGTGGTGGCTCCTCACTGGTGGAATGAGCTCCTGGAGGAGATCAGGGCCCTGCGGGACCTTGTACAGTTCCGCAGGGTCTGCAAGACGTAGCTCTTCCACCAGGCTTTCAACTAGGAGCCACCCACCACTACCACTTACCACCATCATTAACATCTGAGGTGGTGGGATGGCCCTGAACTGTCATCGAGCCACACATTGTGTCAGTAAATGTGAGCTGACCTGAGACTGTCAAGGGGAGGGCGGGATATCATTAACATCTCCGGTGGTGGGATGGCCCTGAACTATGATCGAGCCACAGCATTGTGGGAGACCGATATACCGCTGAGCTGGGATTGCAAGATTATATCTAATAGTACGCCATCTTAATCCATTGAAGAATGTCCACTGTGAGCACTTTAATTGTATGTAAGATTTTAACTTGCTTTTAAAATGTTTTATGTTGAGCGGACACATTGTGTCAGTAAATGTGAGCTGCCCTAAGACTGTCAAGGGGAGGGCAAAATATAAATATAATAAATAAATAAACCATGATACCTTCTGTTCAACTTACCACAGACATTGGAACCTATTTTAACATGAGCGTAGCCATCTATTCCCCATGAACGTCCCCAAGAGTTCCGTACAATCCAATAGGGGATGCTACCTATAAAATAGCCTCGATAAGCCTTTATTTCAGCCACACAGAACAAAGACAATAATTACATCTTCAGCAGAGCCTCATTCCCGTAGTGCAAGGATGTGCCGATTTATTGTCTTCCTTGGAACTGCACATCGAGTTTGCACGAAATGCAGAGACACATAAAGTGCAAAAGGATCGAATGTGTACCACAATACAAAGGCTGGATCAATGGAAATTCAGCAAAGAAAGGGTTCACAGCTTAAACCTGGTGTAGTGGTTAAGTGCGCAGACTCTAATCTGGGAGAACTGGGTTCGATTCCCCACTCCTCCACTCGCAGCTGCTGGGTGACCTTGGGCAAGCCATAGTTCTGATAAGAGCTGTTCTTGAAAAAAGAGCAGTTTCTGTCAGAGTTCTCTCAGCCCCACCTACCTCACAGGGTGTCTGTTGTGGGGAGGGGAAGAGAAAAGGAGTTTGTCAGCCGCTCTGAGACACCTTTGGGTAGTGAAGGGCGGGGTATAAATCCAATCTCTTCTTCTTCTTCTTCTTAAATCTAATCTCATGTGCAATGCTGGTAGCAATTGTGTACATGACTTGTGCATGCTGCTGACCCAGAGAACACATGTCCATAACTCCTGAACTCTTTAGGAGAACAACAGGCCAACGTCAGAAACTACGGCAGATAAGCTTGCACACCAAGTACAGAGACAGACAGTTCCTCCCACAAAAGCGCACTGTGAATCCAGGAACTTCAACAGATCTGCATGTTTCCTTGAAACTTTACCCAATATGTGTGCAATGCTGGTAGCAATTGTGTACATGACTTGTGCATGCTGCTGACTCAGAGAACACATGCCCATAACCCCTATTCTGAACTCTTTAGAACAGCAGACCAACGTCAAAAACTACGGCAGATAAGCCTGCACAGACCCCTCACCGAGTACAGAGACAGACGGTTCCTCCCACAAAAGCACACTGTGAATCCAGGAACTGCAACAGACCTGCATGTTTCCTTGAAACTTTACCCAATAGAATACATTCAAGCTGTTATTGTTTATTTTTAAAAAAGCTTTCAGAAGAAGAAGAGGAGATTGGATTTATACCCCGCCCTTCGCTACCCGAAGGAGTCTCAGAGCGCCTTACAATCTCCTTTCCCTTCCCCCTCCCCACAGCGGCTGACAAACTCCTTCCCCTTCCCCTTCCCCTCCCAACAACAGACACCCTGTGAGGTAAAAGAAGAAGAGATTGGATGTATACCCGGCCCTTCACTACCCAAAGAGTCTCAGAGCGGCTCACAAACTCCTTTCCCTTCCCCTCCCCACAACAGACACCCCCTGTGAGGTAGGTGGGGCTGAGAGAGCTCTGACAGAAACTGCTCTTTTTCAGGGACAGCTCTGATGGAACTATGGCTTGCCCAAGGTCATCCAGCAGGTGCAAGTGGAGGCGTGGGGAATCAAAACCCGGTTCTCCCAGATTAGAGTCCGCGCACGTAACCACTACACCAAACTGGCTTTTCGGAGTTTAGGCTGCAAGTCTAAAATGTATCTCGTTGTGTCTTGAAGAATCTTCTGGCTTGGCCACTGAATGCACACATTTTTTTAAAAAGAATTCTAATGGTTACCGAACTTTTAACCTGTGAGGATGCTTTATTTGGACGGAAGCAAATACCAGTGACATCGGGACTTCCTTCTGAATCAAATGAGTTGGACCTGAACTGATGTATAACAGCTGCTGTAGATTTTCCGGGTTGTCTGGCCGTGGTCTTGACATTGTAGGGCCTGACGTTTCGCCAGTAGCTGTGACTGGCATCCTCAGAGGTATAACACAGAAAGATGGAGTACTCTCTGTGTCAAGGTGAGTAGAAAAATGGTAGGCAGGTAATTTATCTCTACTCAGGAAGGTGGGGTAGGGCTGAGTCAGTATCTTGTAGGCGTTCCCCAGGCTATGGACATGCTAATGGAGGAGCTTTCCTGAGGAGGTTCTTTTGTCTATGGATTGTTTCCTGAGGAGGTTTCCTGTTTCCTGAGGAGGTTCTTTTGCATGTGGACTGGCTGTTAAAATTCTAATCTTATCTGTAGTGCTATTGCTTTTCAGGACAGGAAACCAAGGAAACGTCAGGTCCCAAAATGCCAAGATCACGGCCGGACAACCCGGAAAATCTACAACAGCTAATGAACTCCGGCCGTGAAAGCCTTCGACACCATATTGATGTATAATCATCATTAAAGAATAGCAGGAGGAAAGTTACCTGTTGTATCAAAGCCAGTAATGAGAACAGCGTGATTTGGCTCGCCACTGGAACAGTGATACTGTATGATACCACCCAAATAATCTTGCCAGCTAACCGCATCAACAATTGCCACCAAGGGACCCCATTCAACAAGTATCTCCATCATCTTTTCTTCATGTCCGCTGCAAGACAAAGAGACACGCCCTGTTAATTAGAAAGTTATCCAGCATTAAATTAGACTAAAACGGTCCCGCCCCAAGCGGCCTGGCTGGAGCGGATTCAACCCTTTGGTACAAAGAGCAAGAAGCAGCCAGGTAAGTTGCAGAGCCCCCCCCCCCCGCCCCCAAACAGTCCAGTGGCACCTTTTAGACCAAGTTTTATTCAGGTACAAGCTCTCCCTCCTCTGCGAGGACAGATCTGCACGTCCCCCCCCCCCAATAGCTAGCAATCCAAAACAGTCCAGTGACACCTTTAAGACCAAGTTTTATTCAGGTACAAGCTCTCCCTCCTCTGCGAGGACAGATCTGCATGTTCA